CCGGCCCCTGCCCAGCCCCCCACTCTGCCCACCTCCCACCCGGCCCCATGCTCTGCCCAGCCCCCCTCACTCTGCCCGCCTCCCACCTGGTCCCCCACTCTGCCTGACCTCCTCCCCCGCCCCCCACTAGCGCAGCCCCGCCCGGCCCCAGGTACCTCTCTGCCGTGGTCGCCCTCCCGGAACAGGAGCTCGTACTTGATGACACTTTCCTGCCGTGGGGGGCTCCACGAGAGCCCGATGCTCGTCTCCGACTTGGCCTCGGCCCGGAAGTTCATGGGCTGGCCAGGCACTGGGGGAGGCAGAGAGACAGAAATGGGGGAGGATGAGAGCGGGCCCCCCGACCCCGCAGAGGGCGCCCGACTTCCAGGAGTCCCCCCTCTCCTCAGAGAGATCACAGCCCTGAAGGACAGGCTGCTCGTCTCCGGATGCTTCCAGAACGTTCTCCCACTGCTCCTATTGCACCCACTTTCCCAGGGGAACCCCTACCGCCCCTCGATGTCAGTTGTCCACCTCCATTCGTCTACCCTCTCCGCTTCCAGTGGAAAAAAATATTTAAAACTTCCCTTTTCCGATCACCCCTGTGCCTTCCTCCTCCCCCGAATTAAATGACAGAGCAGCTGGCTGGAATCTGGGTCTCCATCCTGTCCCCGCTCTGGGGGCACAGTCTCAACCCTCCTGTTCCTCTGCCTGAGCTGCCTGCGTCTCGCTGGGTTTGAGGTTCGGGACTTCCGAGCCCATGAGGAAAGGCCCAGCCACCTGCGGAGCTGGCGCCCCACGCACCTCAGGGCCCCCCCAGCCCTGCCCCACCCGTCCTCAGACACAGCCCTGCGGATCTACCTGGGTGTCCACCTGCAGCCCCGTGGGCTTGCCGGATTGGATTGTCCAAGCAAAGCCAGAAAAGTAGGTTTTCTGGGACAACGTCCTGCTTCGAAGCGCCACACGGGACGCCCAGAGCACCCTGTGGCTCCCGACACAGCCGGCCGGCCAGCCGCACGCCAGGAGGAGGCTCAGCATCACACGGCCGCCTCCGCCTCCACTGGGACACCCGGAGCCGCTGCCCCCACAGCACGCGCCTCCCATGGGCCCCTCACCTCCCTGCTGCGTCTTGACCTGGATGGGGTCCGAGAGGGGCCCGTCGCCCACAGAGGTGAAGGCCAGCACGCGCACAGTGTAGGTCTCGTCCTCCAACAGGCTGCCCACGGTGGTCAGCAGGCTGTCGTCCACATTGTGCTTCTGCCAGTTGCCCACAGGGTGCTCAGGCTCCATGGTGTAGTAGACCCGGTAGCCTCGGATCAGGCCGTTGGGCTCCACGGGCTCCTCCCACTGGACGATCATGGTGGTGGCACTGAGCATGCGGGCCTGCACGTTCCGCGGTGCGCTGGCCGGCGCCTGCTCGCCCGTGCGGGTGACCACGGACTCGCTGGGCGGGCCCTGGCCGATGGAGTTGACGGCCGACACCCAGATCTCATACTCGGAGTTGGGGCTCAGGCCGCCGATGCTGTAGCGGGTGGTGGTGACGTCCTCTTTGATCTGGTACGGCCCGTCCTGGCTCTTGGACTTATATTCGATGACGTAGTAGGACACGGGGTCCGGGTTGCCAGAGTCCCACGTGATGGTGATGCTGGTGGCTGTGTTCTCTGTTACCATGGGAGTCCCAGGGGCTTTGGGGAGAGCTGTGGGTGGGGCACGGTCACAGTCGGGCACAATGGCTGCAGGCCCCGAAGGCTGTGTGACTTCCAGCCACACGACCGCCCCCCCGCGAGCAGCGACGACGGGCCTAATGACTAGTCCCGCCGCCTAGAGCAAGGGGTGGCAGACAACAGCCCGAGGGCCGGCACCTGCTTCTGTAAATCAGGTTTCTCAGAGCACGGCCATGCGTATGTGCTGCCACTGGCTGCTATTATACCACGACGGCAGGGCTGAGGGGTGGCAGCACAGACTAGGTGGCCCGGAAAGCTGAAAACATTCACTTTTTAAAAAATGGAGGCTAGCGGTGGCCTCACCCGGTTTCTATCACCTAAGGGCGCCTCGTTTTCACATTTATCTGTTCTTCCCACCAGCAGAGACCAAGTTTTGTTTACGGCTGTGCCCCAGCACCTGGATAACTGTGACTGTCTCTGCCTCTTGTTCCAAGTTCTCACACCACACAGGCCCCCCCAGAGTTCAATCCCTCGACAAAATGAACCACGAACCGACTGACACTGAGCTTTCTATGACCCTGGGGCATAGAAAGGGCTCGTTAAACTTCTCCTGCAAGAGCCCAGACAGTAAATATTTGCAGTTCTGCCGGCCTTTGTTGAGACTACTCAGCTCTTCTCTTGGAGCTAGAAAGCTGCCATAGACGAGGTGTGAAGAAATGAGCATGTGCCAATAAAACTTTATTTATAAAAACAAGTAGAGGGCCGCATTCAGCACAAGGGCTATAGTTTGACGGCCTCTGTTCTAAAGCTAGAAAAACGTTCAGGGACACCTTCCTCTGAATCTAACCACAAAGTGGACACATCAGGAGAATCTGCAGCCCCACGCGACCCCTCCCTCCCCTGCCCTCCCTCTCTCCCCGAATCTTTTCACGGGCTGTTCCCTTTTCTGAGAACTGTTCCCCATCTTCTTGGGCGCATTCCTTTTCAATTTCTAGTCTTTTCCTGACCTAACTTTCCTGGGAGGTGGGACCTTCACTCTGGGGTGTAAATAATGCTACGCGGCCCCCGCCAGGGCCCTCATCAGCCTGTATCGTGGCTCCCTGACCACCTCCCAACTTGGACTGAGCAAGACCGTGTCCCCCTCCTTGGAGCGAGGCCCAGAAGACTCTGTAACCAATAAATGTGTCCACAGAACCATCCCTTCCACTGCCGCAAACGACCGAGGTCAGACTCGGAGGCCTTCCGCCCGCCTCCCCCTGCCCCCCCGCTCACATTTCACCGTGATCTGGGCCACGGCCTCGATGACGCCCAGGCTGGACATGGCCACGCACGTGTAGTTGGCAGAGTCCTTGACGTCCGTGAGTTCCAGCACATTCCGACCCACAGGCATGTCATCTTCGGGCGTCAGGTCCTCGGCCCCCTGCATCCACTTGACGTATGGCATGGGCGAGCCCACGGCCACACAGGTGATGTTCACGCTGCCACCTGGCATGATCTCGTGGCTCATGGGCAAGATGGAGAATCGAGGAGCCACACGACGGACTGGGGGCGGCAGCGGCGGGCGGGAGATGCACGGGGCGGGGTGGGGGAGGGCACGGAATGCAGAGGAGGAAAGAAAGAAAAGCAGGAAGAAAGAAAGAAGGAAAGAAAGAAAAAAAGGAAAAAAAAAAGCGGAAAACAATTTAAATATAAACAGGGCTGTTTCCTTCCCCCTAGTTGAAAATTTTTTTTTCATCCAAATGAAAAGAAAACAAAGAAACCAAATTAAAAAACCAAATTCCAACACAAAGAAACCAAAATTTTAAAGGAAGGTACTTCACAAACAATATATATAGAGAGATATCGATATATAATCAGAGACATGAAGCATTATTTCATAGCAACAGGGTTTCAGAGACCAGAGGGGCTGGTCACAGCACAGTTACAAACACAAAAATTTATCAGCTGTTTCTCATCTTTGATGACAGACGTGGCTTCAGGGAGCAGCCCCTCTGCCCGCTCTCTCAAGTGGGGAGCTTCGAAAGATCCCAGCTGCAAGTGGGGGGCTCTGGGAAGGATGGATGGGGAGCTGGGGGGGTCATGGGAAAAGCTGGAACCAGGAGGCAGAGGGGGCCCGAATCTCGACCCCCCCCAACCCTTGTCCTCCCTGGTGACTCGGGACCCCACCCACTTCCCGGGGGGCCCTCCAGGAAAAGATGAGAAACTCTAATGAAATTTTTGTGGTTTTGGGGTGTAGAAACCCTTCTAAAAGCTTCTGTCGGATCTCACAAGTTTCCATTGATAAATGCAGCTCTCAGAATCACAAACAGCATGCAAAAGAGATTGGTTGAGAGAAAGAAAGAGAGAGAGAGAGAGAGAGAGAGAGAAAGAGAGAGAGAGAGAGGCAGGAGAAGGGTCGGGGAGCGCTAATGCATCAAGAGGCCGGAACTCAGGGGCCTTACTGCACACTTGTGTGGGTGCCAGAGAGAGGGGACAGATGAGCCGAGAGAAAGAGAGAACACGGGGGTGAGAGCGGGAGGGACAGAGACAGAGAGGAGGAGGGGGAGGGGGCCCACTTCAATGCTGCATATTAACTCTAGCAGATGTGACCCAATGTGACAAGTCACATTGTCACATCGCAGCCCTGGCAGAACAACAGAATATTAATAATAATAATAATAATAATAACAATAATAATAATAATAATAATAAACAGGGGGATGAACTTGAACGCTGAGGAAACGGGCATGTTCTGTGCATTTCTTAGCGGGAAAGCGAATGCAGCCTTCTGTCCCCACCTCGCAGACCATGAAGGCAGCAGGACGAATTTCGGGGGCTCCATTTTCGGAAGTCAGATGGGTTTCCGGATTGGAGGTAGAGGGGAGCGCCTGAACTTCCACAAGGCTTTGCTGCCCCAGGAGAGGTTTAACCGCAGTGGGCAGGATGGGGCTCACCTAGCGAACCCTTCTAGCCACGAAGAGCGTGTCCCTGGCTAAGACCTTGGGGCTTCAGGAGGCCACGTGGGCGCGTTCCCAGCTTTGGGCGTGTCAAGGAGTCTTGTCTCCAGCTATAGACAGGACAGACTGGAGGCTCGAAAGGCAAAACGGGACCACGGAGTGACTTACAGCATCCCAACCTGCCTCTAATTTCCACGTGGTATTGGGGGGTACGGTTGTACCCCTAAGAGGCTGTTTGTAGGGGGTGTGACCTGCCCTGCAGAGAAGGGGGCTCCAGGGGCTAAGGGGAGGCAGTCTGGTTCTCTCTCTTCCAGCCTGGGTTCCCAGCTGGAAACCCCAACCCCTGCTCCCTAATCCCGGATGGAGGCAAAGAAGAGGGGGCGGGGAGGAGGGCCAAGAAGCTGGCAGTCAGTCCTTCAGAAAAGGAAGCCCCACGAAAAGTCCAGAGTCACGCTGGAGACAGGATGGAGTGGAAGGTATCTCCGGGGGGCGGGGGCAGGGAGGGGAGGCAGAGGGGCCATGCAGACAGATTGGGGGTGAGGGGCAGGGCAGGACACTGAGATGGGGGGGTGGCTTTCTGGCAGGGCTGGGTAGGGGATGAGAGGGGTCGGGAGAAGAGAATGGGGTCCGGCCAGCCAGCGGACGCAGTCCAGGCCAGCCGCCGGCATCCACAGCGAGGCTCGCGAGTGGGATGCCCGACGCTGCGTTGTCATGGAAACGGAACACGATGGGGGATGAGCGTGGGGGAGCTAATTAATCAAGGACAGAAAACGGCATCGACGTCCAGAACAAAACCAGGGAAAACAAATGAAGAAACAAAGCGGAATAAAAAAAAAAGAAAAAGAAAAATCCAAAAACACCAACCGAAACAAAAAACCTTTCTGAAACAAAACACCCGAAAGCCATAAGGAAAAAAACATGGAATGGGTGTGGGGCTGAAAATCGGGGTCTGAAAGGAGGAGGGCTGTGGCTTCCCGCGGGAGGTGCCCCCCCACCCCTGGCAGAACACAGGGTCTGGCCCCCAGCACCCGAGAGCCTCGGCGGCCACAGAGGTGACGTCCTTGGAGAAAGAACCTTCGGGCAAACCAACCCGGCCCCGCTGGAGCGCTTCTCTCTACAAAGCCCCTCTCAGCCCACTTCTCAGTGACACCCCGCCTGTCTCTTAGGGCTGAACGCACGGGCCGGCCACTGAGCACACAGTAGGGCCAACTCCTCACGGCCAAGGAGCACGTCTCCGGGCAGAGGTGGGGACGTGCACGTGGCTGAATGAGCCCGGCCACCTCGGGGGTGTCCCTCAAACTTCTGGAGCCTCCATTCCCTCAACTGAGAAACGGGGTGACATGCTGAGGCCCCTGAGCTGCCGAGGGCAGTGACCGCTCGCCGTGGGCGTGGGGCCGGTGAAGCTCCTATCTGGGACTTTCGGGGCGCTGGGCAGATTCGCTACGATGAGGAAGTTTGGGGGTGAATTAGAATGGAAAACGTTTTTTAAAAAAGGAAATAGTTAAGAATTTCTACTGAATTCCCATCTTGCTTTCCAGCAGCCGACTCTGAGAGGCAAATGTTCTCAAGCCCGTTCTGTGGAGAGGTGACAAGGCCAGCTGGAAGACACACATGAAGGAAGAGGGTGGGCCAGAGGGAGAAACCCACATGCCTGGTCCCGGCCTCTCGCATGAAGTCAGCCTTCCCTTCTCTCTCCACGGTAAGCAGCGAGAATTATAGCCGGGTGTCCCTTTTTGGCATCTGGCTTGCTTTCAAACTTGTGTGTGACATCGAACAGGGCAAAAGTACTCACCACCTATGTACACCTATCAACTGAATAAAAGCCAGTAGCCCCCAGCGGAATAATAACCAGCAGCCATCACAATAAATCCCCAGACGCCTTCAGTAAAAGGCTTACACTGAAAGAGCCCGTTGGAACATCTAAGGGAGTTAAGAGCTAGCTTCAGGATTTACAGATTAAATGTGAGCTCCATTTAGCCCTCTATAAGGCTCGACATCTCGCCAAAGAGACCCTGTTCGCATCTGACCTTAAAATATCTCCCCTTAGGAAGTGTCGTCATTTGGAAGGTAAGTTTTTTCAGAAGGAGAGACAAGGCCTACCTCTTAACTCTGCGGAAGACTTGCTGTGCAGGATTGTTAACTAAACTACAAGCCAGTTAAACGTGGGAGGGCATTTATCCACAACAGTAATTTTAGTGCTTGTAATCCCCAACATGGCCGGCAGCCATCAGTTAAATGGATCTGCCAATAGCTATAAAAGCCGACACCCAAGACACTTAGCCCGCTTGCTTCCCCACCCTCCCCGTTCGCTTCTCAGGGTGTGCAGCAGAAGGGGGGCTGGTTTGCCGCGGGTCTGGGGAGGACTGCGCCCAGTGCCACTAGGTGACTCAGAGCTCCCGCGGGGGTCTCAGGAGGCCTCCGGGAGTCCTCCCAGCTGGCAAGGGAGGGCAGGTGGCCGACGCTGTGTTCTGCCCAGTTTGGTGCTGACACCCGCCCGCGTCATCTCTCCACCCCCGGCTGCAAGCTTGAGGTGCGGGTTAGAAAGTAAGGTGGGCGCGGAGCCCACGGGCCAGTGGCCCCGCGGGACCCCCACCCCCAATTACCGACCTGAATGGAGGGTCCAGGCGGGTTATAAGGGGACCACACCAGCCTTGGTCCTCAGCACGCTCCAGCTGGCTCTCGTTTCCAGCTCTTCTCGTCACCGAGTAGCCGGGGGTCCCAGCAGGGGGGACCCGCGTGGGTGAGGGGGTCGGGAAGGTGGGCGGTGGGAAGTGGTGGGTTTGGGAGGGGGGTGGGTCGCTTCAAACCCCGATTCACATGGAAAAACAACTCAAAAACCGTCAAAGCAACCGGGAGACGACCCCTCCCCCAGGCAGGAAGAGGCAGAAACTCAAAAACCAAAAGGGGGGGGGTTGAGGGAGAAGG